TAAATAAACCTGTTTTATTTTTAGATTTGCTGAATTTAAAGAAAATAATTTTACTTATAAACCTCATACAAACTAAATATCACAATAACATCTGCAAGTATCATGATTTTAATTTTTCCCAACTCTTAATTGTATCATAAATAAGAGATCATTTGTGGTATTTTGGTTTTATATCTTTGGTGGTGCTGCAGTGCTGCTTCTGAGTTGGTTACGCCTGAGGACGGAATGCTTGCACTCTGATTTAATGAGTCATTAGGTGAATCCGAGATGGACGTGGGACTGCGACGGGGGGACAAAAAGTCCCATTGAGTGGGGAGGGAAATTGAGCCTGGATTTAGGGATTTTCGGAGGGCTTTGGCAGCTCCTCCTCTGCCCCCGCTCTCTTTCAGGTGGAGTTATTGCATATGATATTTACTGGCGCAGGAATGCTGATGTTATCTCGGGTCCAGCCGCGCTGCAATTTGCCTCGCTCCTTGCTGTCCTGTATCTAAGACTGCTCACTTCCACTGGCCTATCACTGCCCCTGCTTGTGTAAGTCTCCACAGACAGAGGCGTCTGTTAAACGAATAAACTGTGAACCAAACTCTCTCTGGATATGACTTTGGCTGACCAAATCTGATCTCTCTCTCTCTGCCTTGGCCTTACATCAAAGCCCACTGAAGGCCACGGTAAGCAACAGAGTAACAATGGACCAGGCCACGGTGTGTTTATGTGTGTGTGTCTGTGTGTGCGTACTTGTGTGTGCTGGGTCCAAGGGACGTTAGAACAACATCTCCATGCTGCCCCCAGACCCCTGTACAGTCTCCAGCCAGCTATAGTTAGCAATATGTAAGAGCGAGATAGCTTTTTTTTTCAGTCATTCTTCAGTAATAACTACCAGGTGTACTGGCATTCTCAACATTCTGAATGCTTACGCTTAATAAACTACTCTCTCTCTCTTTGTCTCTATCTCTCTTTGTCCCTCACTTGTTTCTCTCTTTCTCTCACTATCTCCCTCTTTGTCCCTTACTTGTTTTCTTTCCCTTTCACTCTTTTTTCTCTCCTTCTCTCTGTCTCTCACTCTCCCTCTCTCCCTCACTTGTTCTTTCTCTATTTCTACCTCCCTCAAGTTCTCTATCTCCCCCCACTTGTTCTCTCATTCTCTCACTCACTCTTTGTCCCTTACTTGTTTTCTCTCTCTCTAACTCTTCTCTTTCTCTTACTCTCTGTTGCTTGTTCCCCCTTTCTCTCCCTCCTCTCTTTCTCCCTCACTTGTTGGCTTTCTCTCGCCTCTCTCTCTCTCTCTCATTCGGTTTCTTTCACATGTTCTCCTTGTCTCTCCCCTCCTCTCTCTCATTCTTTTCTTTCTCTCTCTCTCACACTCATTCGATTTTTCTTTCTCTTTCCCCTACTTATTCTCTTTCTCTTCTTCATCTCTCTCTTCCCACCGTTTCTTCTCTCTCTTTATATTTCTCTTTCACTTATCTCACTCCTCACTTGCGCTCTCTCTCTCTCTCTCTCTGCTGCTCTAATTCCTCCTGCTGGTTGGACCTGTTTCTCACTTCATGTGTACTGTAAAGTATATCTGCTTTTCTCAATCTGACTCTGGATCTCACTCACTGATTCACACAGGCACACGCACAGAGCACACATTCACACAGAGCTTAGAGCTTTTTCTGTTATCCCCACTATGAACTGTGCGTCTAAACCTATATATATGATCCAACCCATCTCTCTCCCTCTCTCTCTCTCTCTCTCTCTCTCTCTCTGCTGCTCTGCTAGTTTTCCATGCTGGGACAACGACAGATCTGTGTCCTCATAGTTTTTTTTCCTTCTTCCCAATGACTGACCCCTAACTCGATCCAGGCATTCCTAAGGGGCCCATAATTGCATCCATGTCTCTCAGAAGTGGCACATGTGTTTTGAATTAACAGCCAAATGCCTCTGACTCCCAGTCCCAATAAATTGTTTGCAGCCTCACCCAATTAGTAGTGAAAGATTTGACGCTCTGCGCTGCCGGTTGCGTATATCAGTGAAAAGCGGATTGGGAGGGGTGACATGCTTCTAGACTTCCCGAGTATGCTGAAATGGAGCTGTTGGGCTGAAGTAAACAGCAGGGTGCCACGCAAATTGACTCTAAACATTTTTCCCCTCATGCTCGGTACTTGTTATGGCATGCGTCTGAAAGAGCTCATGCTATATACATGTATGTATGCACAGCGTCAGTCACAAAAACCTTGATGGCTTACAGCTTACAATGGTAAACAGACAAAACGTTTCGCTCTCACCACTTTTCTTTACAAGGATAGTAAAACAACATATGCTTTTAACAATAGTTTGGAAATCCTAATATAAAATACTTATATCAAATCATTATTTATAACTATGTACTCTTCATACCCTAGAACAGAGCAGATCTAAAACGTGCACTGTCCTAAAGTTATTCAGTAATGTATTACATTAAAATACATAAAACCTATTATATTTTCTATACATATAGATTACATCTTCATAAAACACATGGGAAAACACTCTGCTTTGTAAGTTTTTTTTTTTTTTCACACTGTTCCTCGTTGTTACTGGTTGGCAGTTTTCTTCATGTAATTCTTCTGTTAATACTTTTCATGAAAGATTTGCTTATTATTTGAATTAAGTTATGATTTTCTTCCCTCATCTTTTGCTTTAGTCCTCTGCAGCTCTCACAATCCCACAAGCAGGACAGCCACCTGTCTAATGAACTCAGCCAACAATTAACCATAATCCAATACCAAAATCTTGCAAATATAAAGTGGTTGTATGCAAAGGTTTGAGTGCCCTTGGTAAATGAAATGCATGTTTTGTTGATTTTCTAACACATCCATAACAAAAATTGCAGTAAAATATCTTTCCATGTTTGTTGCTTGTAGAGGATGCGTTATTGTCATTCAGAAAATCAACAAAACATGTCATTTGACTAGGGGTGTTCAAACTTTTGCATACAAGTATATGTGATTTACAGTTAGTGGCATGTATATAACTTCATGACATGAAATGCACACACTCGTCCAGTCCTACAGCAACGCAAAGCTTATCACACAAATATGTCCACTACTGAGCACAGTGTACAGTTTCATCATGCCTTCAAAAAGGTTTAATAACACTGAGGTTAATGATTGGCTCATCACATTGATTTACCTCATTTCTATTTATTTTTATTGATTAATTTAGTGATTTTAATTTATTTAAAGAATGTATGTGGATCATTCTACTGGACTGGTTCCAAGTCAGAGTTGAAAACACGTTTCAGACTTTAACTGACTTGGACTTAAAACTAAAATCCTTTTGTTTTAAATTATGTTTATTTTATTTACATGATTCAACATTGAAAACAATCATAACACTACCAAAACAATCATAACACTACCAAAACAATCATAACACTACCAAAACAATCATAACTCTACTGAAACTTTACCTAATGTTTCAGTTATGACTTTTTCGGTAGTCACAGTTTGAGCTAATTTTGAGCAGAACTCAAAAACACTAGCCAGTACGTCACTAATAAACACAGCTTTGAACATGTTTACACAAATAAAATCATATTTTCATTAAAACACCCAAAAAATTACTCAATTGCAGAAAATACGTGTTTCGGTAGTGACAATTCTTAATGTTACACACTGATTTTTAGACTTTGGGACACATTTACTTCAAAATAACGAGATCTAACTGCTCACCATGTGGCCATGAGGCCCAAGGATGCAGCCTCACCTCCTGCTCTAAAATGCAGGGGTGTGGCTAAAATAAGGCTCTGCCTGAGGACCCTTTGTGTTTCACTAGTGACATGAAAACGTAGGGCAGAATGTTTTTTAATTGAAAAATTAAACTCTGACGAATGAAAATCTTCCAACTTCACTTGAAAAAAATAAAAAATCGTACTTTTTTTTTAAATACAAGAAAAAAATGTCATTAAAAATTATTTTCACAAGTTGAATTTTGGAGGTTATAGAAATAGAAAGTACCCTATAAGTTATGATTTTCTACATAATTAGCTATCTTCATTTATGCCCTGGGTTTAAACAGATCATAAACATGATCCCTGTAAACTCCTCGGGTCTGTAAATGTAATTGTTTTTAATAATTGGTGTTTGAAAAAAAAAATGTTGTTTAGTTTAAATTGTTGTTTGAACTAATTTGGTACAATGGTCCATATATGATAAGTAATACCTTAAAATCACAGGCACCTTACATCCTAATGCTATTACACAGTAAACATTCACATTTAAAGTGTTATTAATGGATAATAGAAGTGTGTAATTAACATTTAGACAGGGGATCCTGGCCATTTGTGAGTTAAGATTGGGGGGCAGCCTTGTTCAGAACTTTCCTCTGCCACCTTGTGACCTGTGATGCTAACGGAGAAACCTTTAGCAGAAAAACAGCACAAACCACATAAAATCCTGTTTATAGTAATACTGTGTGCCTTGGCATTTCAGCAAAGCCCTTTAATTCACTCCATTCACATAAGAAAACACATGCCCAAGCAGAAGGGTAAAGTTTATTCATTTGTGTGGAGCTAACAGCTGGAAACATATGGCTAACCAGACGTGGCAGGGGAAGTCCAAGCAGTTTCCTTAAAGTTTCTGATTCTGGCTAACCGAGTGGTTCATTAGTAGGACAAGCAGGTGACTCACTCAGTAAAGTGCTGAGTAGCGCAGACTCAGGCATGATATGCCTTAAAGCACCTCGTGAGTCACTTAGCCACTTTTCCAGAGCTTGGAGATCTGTATGACATGCCTGAACACATGACTGCTAACAACAAGCTATCTCATGCAACAGCATACTTCATTCGAAACTGTCTGCTGATTCTATCTAAGAGTAGAGTGCAACAATCAGCTTTTTAAAAACCATGATTCAGACATTGGTCACTTTAGTAGCTAGGCCACCTCATGAAGGACCTTCTGGGGGAAGCATGTGTTGACTTCAGTTGTTGCATCATAGAAGCCTGTTTTATTTTCACTATTTCCATGATGCAGACTCACCTTTGAGATGTAGGCCTTGATGCCTTCAGCCAGTTTAATGCAGGGTTCTCCAAACAGCTGGGCCAGATCCTCGGGGATATCCCTGTTTTTGTCCAGGGCGTTGAGCAATCCCAGGCATCGTAGTTCCTCTGTTACTCCCTGGCTCTTCACCTATCAATGGGCCAATCACAGTAAAGATTAAATTATCTTACTGACTAGAGAAGGAAATTAATGCAAAAAAATATAACAATAAAATGATACTTAAAGACATTTGCATGATATGAAATGTGGATCATGTGATTGTACTTTTTTTAAAGTTTGATAAGTTGGAATAGTTTTTGAGTACAATGTTTTTCTATGTTAATTCAGTGTTTCTTGCACTGTTCATTACTACATTCAATAAAACATGAACAATTATTCCCACTTGGCCTCTTAGTGCTTCCTTGAGATTTGAACTTTGATCTCCTGTCAACAGGGTGAAACTTTAGTCGGCTATGCCTCTGGGGAGTCCGTCTAAATCTCTTTTTAATGAAACATCAGTGTTCATTGTTCTTTAAAGCTGCACTATGTACGTTTTGGAGATTTGGAGGCCTCTCTGGTGGTAATGTGTAATTGCATGCAACATGTGGATGAACATTTTGTAACGACGGTTGTGCTTCTGACCTCTTTCTTGAGTGGATGAACCTGATGACTATGAGTACGGTGAAAGCATATTCAGAGAGAACTCAGTCAAAACTTGGTGAAGAACGTGTCTTCTGAGGATGGAGTGAATGATCTTTGTCAGTATAATGTAGATTTTGCATTTGAGAACTAAACATACCTTCTTTTTAGACCTTTTCTTATGGACGATGTGGTCTGTTTTTTTTTCCTCCTGAGTCAGTAATGCAACTTCTTTCAACTTTAACAAAAAAATTTACATTGTGCAACTTTAGCTACTAATACCTATTTTACGCTAATAATAAGACAATAACATATTGTCCTCTTACCCACCCTGAATGCCTTGCTCTTCACTTACTTCACTTGCTATAGAAATAGAGGTACTACAAAGGCAAAGTATTCACCAATCCCACTGCTTTGTTGAACTTACTGAACTGGTTAATGCTCAAGAACAATGGGGAAATCACTCAAGAAAAAATGTGGAAATCCCAAATAACAATCGGGAGCAGGACCAGAGGGAAGGTTAATGAGGAAACAATTCGCTTGGGGCCGAATGTCAAAACCAGGACACAGGCCATCCTTGACCCTTTCAATGGGGATTGGAGAAGGACATTCGCTGTGGGGCTTGCTGTAGCAAATCCCGTCAGAACATGTTCAGTTCAAAGTTTTCTGAGCCAGCTGGAGAAGTACACTCTCATGGGGCAAGTTTAAGTGACCTTGCTGTGAAGCAAGGCCTCCTCTACATTTTCCCCATTTCTTTTTCTCTCTCCCTCTACCCCCTTTTCCTCCCAGACCAACGTTCGCTAATCCTGAATCTTTGCAAACGATCTAGGTCTTGAGTTAAGGAGCTCTGCATGCAATTTGAAGCCTTGAGTCAGAAATTGCTTAGCGTCACGGTTGGTGTTTGCTCTTAATGATTCTTTAACAGTTGCCTCCAGAGCGTGACAGAGAGGGCATGCAGGGTGTAGGTTTTTTCCCCCTCTCGCCATGATGTTAACGTGTGCAGCAGGAATCAGGCAGTTAATGAGGGGCTTTTCCCCTCCGACATGCGGGGCACATGTACATAAAGCAGGCCGGACTGATCCAGGGCCAGTTTTATGGGTGCCGTCATGGTGGGTTGTACTTGGGAGAGGGCGGCTGACCTTTGATAAAAGCACTGGAGCCCTGCATTGTGCAAGGCACAGTCACGGGAAATGAGGCACTCATTTAATTCCAACCTTTGCAGATACTTGTGTGGTGGTTAAGGATATGATTTGGACAATTCAAACTAGCACAAAATCATAACATCTGGAGAGCACAATGATGTTCCTGCTTTAAGAGTCTAGCTTTGTGGTTTTCTTAAGGTTCTTAAGGTTAGGATTTGTGGTTTTCGTCATGGTTGTTAAGGTCTGGTAGGCTTGTCCTAAGTACTGGAGCGAAGAGCCCCTCTACCATACACTTGAATTACGAATCCCATCGTTTGTACTTGCTTAAGTTCAAACCAGAGAAAATGAAAAGAAGTAGCCAGACAGTGATCCTTTTGAAGGAAAAGTTGGATTGTTATATGTTGACTCGCATCCAATGTGTGGTTTACTACAATGTGCCAGTAATTGCTTCCATGCCAAAACTTTAAAACCATGTGACTGAAACAATACCTGACGCAATGCTACTATACTCGAACAAGCCATAACATCAACACTTAGCCATGTAAACTGTACCTCCACTATGCATCTAAGCGTGATCCTTCACAGAAACCCTGCAGTAGGCCCCCTCAGCTGCATGTAATGTATAACATGGCTTAGCAATAAAATATACAGCGAAGCAGCATAAAATCGACACAAAGTGCGGCATTAACTCGCTGGTGGTAGGGATGCAAGTGTGGGGTCCAGAAGGGGTGAGAGAGGGTTTTCTAATCCCAGAGAGGGTAGCAGGAAATGGGGAACAATGCTCTAGTGTTACCCCATGCTTTCTGGAGCCAGGGGGAAGAGCGGAGCAGAGCCGCCACTGCTGAACTTTCTGCTTCACTCAACATTCGCTGCTTTTTTGGAGGAAGGATTAAAAAGAGAAATCAGGCGTGTAACTCAAATCCATGCCAGCTCTCCCCCTCTGCTTGGCTCCATTTCTCTCTTTCTCATTCTATGTTTTTCTCTCTCTCTATCTCAGTCTGACTCTGTCTGTCTTCTCCGTCTCATCTTCCTCTGTCTTAACTGCCCCCCCCCGTGATGTTTTGTTTTTCCTAATTCCCCCTGTGTCAAAAAAGGAAAACAGAGTAAGGTTCATCAGCGCTCCGAAATGTTTATGTGGGATGTCTCACTTTGCTCCTCAGCCTCGGTATTGAGAAACAGAGCCCTGGAGGAGCAGGTTGTCTGGGCAAGCCTTGGAGGACAGCTGTTTAAAAAAAATTCTTTCTTTCTTTACATTTGTCCTGAACCCACAAGGTGAGTGCTCTCTCACTCTGACTCTGAGAGGTGTTATGAATTACAGGGCCCATGTCAAGGAAGACTGACTTTTCCCTTTTTTTAATGAAAGAGTTTGATGTAGTATGTGAACATTGTTAAAGTCCATATAGTCCATATATGGCAACTAAGCTGCAAAAACAGCCCATTTAGAATTTTTTTTTGTGATGTCATAAAAATCTATGCTTTTACCTACATCTACCTCTTCAGCCTACAGCAGTTCATGCTGAAGTTATAAGAAGTGTTTTGGCCCAGGCTGCTTTTATAAGGGAGGCATAGTACAGGGCAGCCAATCAGAACAGAGCTGATTTACATATGTCAGTCTTAAAGGCACAGTAACAAAAACCAGGCTGTACAATAGTCATGTAAAAGTGAATTACTGACTTTTTTTGGTTTATCAAACCACACAAATGTTATAAGCAGACCTCAGGGGGGTGAAACTGTAAGATATGGGCCCTTTAATTCAAAGAAAGGCAATGCAAACCAGGGAGATTTCACCATCGAGACTTTTCCTGTCATCAATACCTTTCTGAGAAATCAATGCTTAAATGGGAGTGGGTGATAAGGCTTAAAGGTACACAAAGTGTTATAGTTTCACTTCCCTGTATGAGTTAAGTTTCCAGTTCCTCAAGAGAAACTCACTATGCAATCTCAGCAGTTCAATAACCCAGGAGCTCACACCTGAATACACAAACACACAGCCAATCACGGATCAGAGGATACCAATGACAAAAATCACCTACTCCAAGTTGCTACGGGAAACCGTCTTTTTACTCATAATCTCCTTTGTTTTGGCTATCCTCACTGGCTCGTAAATCTTTCGTAAATGACCAGTGGAGACGGGCCCCATTGAGAAGTCATTGTGAGGCATTTTCAAAGGAGCTGTGGTCAGTCTAACAGCACTCGGTCCTGCTCCCTTCTGTTCTGCTTGGCTTCGGCTCTGACTCACCAAACAGAGCGCTCCGAGCATACTAACTATGGGCTTGACAGTGGAATCGGGCCGATCTCCTGCAGCCAAAACCGCCGAAAATTCCTATTAAGGAAGTCAAGTTCTCTCGAGAGACAGGAATTCCTCTTTTGGTTTTTTAATTAATACAAAAATCAGACTTGACACAGACAGCTTGGACTAATTACCGAACACGTTTAAAGCTTGGGACGCTTGATGGGTCTGGAAGAATGGAGCTCATCCAACCTCCCTGCAGAGGTTTTGATTAAATTAAAACAAGAAAGCACATCTGATCTGCTGGCAAAATGCAGCTGATTAAAACGCTCTCTTCCTGAAGTATCATTTCCAGGACAAGGCAGAGCCTGAGGAGCCTGAAGAACCTGCTGTGCTGTGTTCCTGTGTGACAGGGCTCACTAATGGGCCTTAATGGAGAGATAGCGTGTTTTTACTAGCCGCACTGGTTGAGCAAACTGGAGCTCCAGTTTACAGCCGTGTTTCGTTATTATGGCAATATTGGTCTTGCAATCCTTGATAACGTGGGCCTAAACAGAGATGTTTACATGCCTGAGGACAACATTGCTGCTAGTCTGTCCCATCTGGCCGCTGCGCTGTGTGTGAGCGCAGGATATTTACGTTAGCCCTGAAGAACCTTCATTAGGCTGCAGCTGTGTGTGCAAACGTTTCAAGCACAGTCTATCACGATTCTCTGCTCTTTTTTTCATCTTGCCTCTTTGGAATTAATGGCTCTCCTTTTGGTGACCAAGTGCACTTTATATTCTCTCCAAATAAACTGCCCGTGTTTAATCTCTGAAAACATTTTCTTAAGACTGTGTACTGTGTCCATAATAGAAATACTATCAACAGTAGAGCCTTCAAACAATCCAGAAGACATTATTTTAGTCAGTTTTATCAAAAAGCATTTCACAAGACCATAGCAGGAGGATGAATTGACAGATTGTGCGGATGAAGGACATTGGCAGTGTTAACTAGAAATGACTTTCTGTGTGTCTTTGTATGGATTCTAACGTGTGCTCTGTCCGCTCTGGGGGCAATAAAAAAGACTAAATAGCTCCACATCAATCTGAGTCAAAGATACTCATCTATATCTTTGTGCTTATGCCAGCGCTGCGTTTAAGTTTAAACCTTGTAAAATAGTTTGTGTCCCACTGGAAAAGATCCATGCCCTCCTTTGGGCTATGAATCCACAAGGAAAGGCAGCCAAATTTAGCCGCATAAAGGCTGTTCTGCATAAAACCTAAAGTTTAGTCCAAGAGAGGAGGCAGGCAAGAGGCAAAAAATGACAGAACGTAAAGAGAAAAGGAAGAAGGAAGGAGATAAATAAAGAAAGAATAAAAGAAAGAGACAGAGAAGTTGAGAAAAGGGGGTGTGCAAGTAAGGCTTTTTTGTAGATCTTGGCAAACGAAAATGTCACAGGAGGTTTACATGAGGGAGTTGGAGAGAGAAAGCCAAACATTTGCTTGCAGGGTATAACTTTACACCAAATTTTGTTATTGTTGATGAAGGCCTCTTCAGAGGACCCTGTGGAGTCGAGCTGGGTGGGAGAGGGAGATGGAGCGCCTCGAGTGGGCACGCAGACGGAACAAGCAACACCACTGAAAAGCAGCCTCGCTAAGACTCAGCACCAGAATGGCTTAGTCACAGGCCCAGAATCTAATGACCTGACCTTAAACAAAGAAAGGCTGATTCAAATCTGGCAACCGCCTTTGCTTTTGTCAGGCGTACATAGACAGAAATAGGTCAATCTCAACACCAGTGCAATATCAGCGCAATCCTCTTACGTGAGAGTTTCTCCTTTTGGTCTTCTCAACTGTTTACAGTTCTTGATGTGACCAGGAGCTGACCTTATTTTCTTTCTCCTCAGAGACATACAGCGTTTACTGTGCATGATCTCATTTAACGATGCACTGATTATATGGGCTAAAGAGCAGAATCTCCTCAGATTGTGTGATATGGTCTTGGCAGTCATTTCTGCGAACACTGTTTATGCCTTTTCAAATTCCTAAAATAACTGTGGAAAGAAGTTAAGGAATATCGTCACTGTCACATCAAAACCAATTTTTCGTCTTTTTAAAGTTTTTTACACCCTTTAAAAATATCAACTGTCCTTTAAACTATGTGAACATTTCATTATGAATGGACCAACAGAAACAGTCAGAATTAAAGCACCTGTATCACTGAAAACTGAAGTTTCAAACAGTTTGATGTAGTTTGCTAAAGTTTCAAAAAGTACCTTTCAATCCTCAGTCCACACAGTCCATACGTAGAAACTAAGACGCATAAATAACCAGTTTTGAACTGTTTTTCTGATCTCACGAAAACAAAGACATTTACAAATATCCATCTATTCAGCCTACATCAGTTTAGCCCCACACATTAACGCTGAAGTTATAAGAAGTGTTTCAGCCTGGACTGCTTTTTGAACAATATAATACCAGACTGCCAATAAGAACAGAGCTCATTTACAAATATCAGCATTAAAGGCAAATCAATGAAGAGAAGTTGCAAAATGATCATTTACAAAAGAATTATGATCAGAAAACCACATAAATATTAGGAGAAAAGTATAGGATATGGGCCTTTTAAGGATAAAGTTGCCCTTTCAGACATTTGATGTGTTGGTACTACATACAACCCCTTTATAATACAATTTATAAACAATCAGACTGGTTTCCTTAATTGAATAACATACTGACAATGGTAAAGGATGACAACGCAGGTAACAGTGAAACCACATTACCTCATCAAACAAAAATGAGGACAACAATGAAACATTACACATCACTAAGTGGTCTAAACCCAAACTGTCCTTGGCCTACCCTCAGTGGCTTACAGCAGTCGACTCCCTAACCCTAACCACAATGTCTATTTTAGACCTATTTATGGCTACCTCCTCACAAATGGGAAAAGTCCCTTTCAAACATTCAAGAATAGCTGAATAGATCCAGCATCCAGAGATGAGACAGACGAACAATGTAGACCACACTTAACCAGCACCAGTGTGTGTGCTGTAGTGGATGGGTAAGCTTTTCAGATGGAAAACAAGTTACAGGTTTGAGCCTCCACAAATGTCAAACGGTGACAGAGATGCATGTGGGCCTGCATGGATCTGCTGGAATCCCTCCAACTGAGAAATTTACAGCGTTCCTCAAGGATTTATGTCGAAAGTGCCTGAAGTTTTTTGGCGGGTTCGCAAAAAAACAGAAGCCACCACTTTTTATCTGTTCTGCTGGAGAGTTACTGAAGAGTTAGGCATACAAGGGAGTACTTAGGTGACCTAGTTATGTCAGATAAGTCACAACAGGTTTACAGGAAATGCAAGTGAATGGAATAAATGTAAAGTTAATCTCTCAAAACAGGTTGCCTGCTGTGAACTGGCACCACCACGAAAAGATCCCATAAAAAAACTTGAAAATCTAGTTTCACTATTTCATATATGTATGTATGTATGTATGTATGTGTGTATATATATATATATATATGCATGCTTGCATGTTTTAAAATATATGTGCTAAATATATTTAAATGTGACTTATTTGAATGTGAACATGTAAATATATGTTAATATATACACGTCAATGTACTGAAATGTATGTAAACTAAATATATGTACATATATTGCAAATATATATTGTACACGTGTAGAATAAATATATGTACATATATTACAAATTTGAGACATATTCTAGAAAAAAAATGGTAATATATTTCATTTGCATATGGGAATAGTTCAAACTAAAACATTTTAATTACAGACATACAAAAATCAGCCCTAACCCAGGTGTTAACTGATACCTGACTTGTAGGAATTGATGTATGCTGTAATGTAGAATCTGTAAAAAAGGCATCATAACTATTGATCATAACATAATTAAGAAATCAATGAGAAATCTTTGCAAACAGTTGGCCATCATGGCAGGAGAGTCCATGCTTGTTGCTGTTGGCTTGCGCACAGCTGTTGTGCATAGTTAGTTGTGCTGAATCTGTGCGTAAGTAACACTAAAGAATAATCAGTAGAATAATAAGCCAGAATCAACTCACGTGGGATAAGGACATGTTTAAGTAGACGAAGAGCCCTGTGGTGGAGGCTATCTGCAGGACCACCACCACGATCACCACCATGGCAATCCACAGTTTGGACGGCGACTCTTTTCGGGTGTTCGCCGGCACCATCATGTAAGTGGTGGACTCGCTGCTGACCGACCTGAAGTAATCCTGGTTATTCTGAGTGGCCATGGCATTCCTAGGTCGTGAGTGGAGCAGGAAAAAAAAACTCACACAAAGACAAAAACAACGGCGGAGCGGGAACGAAGAAGTGAAATCAGGGAGTGTGAGTAAACTCCGTATTCATTGAGCGTGGCGTGGGAGGAGGGAAGTCTGGACGAGCAACAGGCAGGCGCAGGGCTGGGTATTTTCCACCTGTTTTCAGACAAGCCCCGCCTCCCTGCGCTATGATTGGCTGATTTCATGCCTTCATCTGCGCTGGGATTGGCTACTGGTTAACCAACAAGTAGCCCGGACAGCTTGTAAACCACTACAAACTACTAGCCAATCGGAGCGCAGAAGGGCGGGGCTCTCCAGAATACGGGTGGGAAAGAAACTGATTCTTCCAGGAGGTTTATGGTAAGTGATGGAGATGTATTGACCCTTGTTGCCCGCTGTTTTACGCTGTTTTAAAGGCTTTCCAGACGCACTCTGAACTAAAACACAACAGGCAGCTTATGTACACAGTATATTATGAGAGTAGAAAGTAAAAAAAGGATTCTATTCATAAATGCTAGTATAGTGGGAGAGATCAGGAGTTTTTTATTGTGCATTAACCACAATATGATATAGGATAAAAAGAGTAAACTGTATGAAGTAGGTAGAAGAATACAGAGAGAAATAGAGAGAGAGGAGAAAAGAAAGAAGAAGCCAGAAAGAATAAGAAATTGTGCATCTGTGTGATACAAATATTTATATATTTGATCATTGTATCACACAGATGCAACTTTCAACAAACAAACAAACAAATAAATAACAGGTCAGATGAAATACTCTTCCTTCACCTTGTTTGGGAGAGATAGTCGTTTGTGTGATAAAGTGATTGGTAGTTGGCTGTGTTTGCCAAGTAGAAGAAGAAAAAGACGAAACAACAACAACTCAGAAGTCTTAACTTGTGTAAGTTCCCTCCTGAGCGGCCCAATGACAGGCTAACCTAAAGAGAACATAAAGAGTAGACATTCCTCCACACTCGAGATACAGACTGTCCACTAAATGAAGCGGATAAAACTTTCTCAGAATCTGGCAGTGGTGGCTGCGTCTCCCCTCTGAGGTAAACAGCTGGAGAGGAGTATGATGGGAGAGTCGAGTGAGTGAGTGTGGGTGTTTGTCTTAAATGGGTTTGGTGGAGATAGGAGACAGATGTTGGGACATGCAGGCTGAATGGGACTGGTAACACCCTCTCAATCTCCTCTGTGTAACCAGACCAGTGGACACTCTGACTAACTCCAAGAGCTCAAAAACTTGAGGTTTTCAAACCTAAGGGGGACGGGGCCAGTAACTTTGATTTCTGCTGAGTTTTTTCTTATGTATGAAAGTCACAATGTGGTAAGCCTACTAGGGTCACCTCGATACTAGAAGATTGATTTTGATACTTGACACTGAACAGTACTAAAAAAAAAACAAAAATGGATCAAAAGTGGATCATTCTCAGCACTGCAGTAACACTGATGTGGGGGTGGTGTGTTAGTGTGTGTTGTGCTGGTCTGAGTGGATCAGACACAGCAGTGCTGCTGGAGTTTTTAAACACCTCAGTATCACTGCTGGACTGAGAATAGTCCACCAACCAAAAATATCCAGTCCACAGCGTCCTGTGGGCAGTGTCCTTTGACCACTGATGAAGGACTAGAGGATGACCAACACAAACTGTGCAGCAGCAGATGAGCAGCAGGTGGACTGACAAGATAGGAGTGTCTAATAGCGTGGACAGTGAGTGGACACAGTGTTTAAAAACTCCATCAGCACTGCTGTGTCTGATCCACTCGTACCAGCACAACACACATAAAACGTAATGCAGCTTTAAGGATGCTTTTGGTCACCTTTATTTTTAAGAATGACTTGGATAAATAAATAATTAAAACTGTACTGAAAGTACAACAGCAAATGGTTTTTATATTATTAATAGTAATAATCTTACAAATACTAATAATAAGCACATTTAATACATATAAATGAAGGTGAAGGTGCTTCTTATGAATATGCAAATAAAACAAGCATTAATGGAAAAGTCTCATTCAAAGCTAAAGTGAAAAATGCAAATCTGTGAATACAGCCTATAACAGTGGGATTACAATGGGAGTGGCTTGTTTGAGAAAGTTTTTAGCTGTGTTTTCAGAGCCATTTTTATTAGCTTTTTATGAGTATGAGTAGACAATGATTTCCAAATCTTTGGAGCCTGAAAGCAAACATTAAAGTTACTTAACCTGTCAGTAAGAAAACAGCTCATGATACGTAACTCAAAGGCCCATAAACACTTTTATATCAGGGATGTTGTCACATCAAACGTTATGTAATATTAGAACAAAACACAATAGAAATTTGATTTTGCATTCATTTATTTAAAAAACTGAGATGTTATTTTTGAAAAAGTAAGTACACCCTGACTTCAGTAACTATACTGCCCCCTTTGGCAGAAAATCACCAAACATGGTTCCTGGTACTGTGGCCAAACAGCTCTATCTTTGACTCGTCTGTCCATAGAATGTTGTTTCAGAAATCCTGGTCCTTGCCTAGGTATTTATTAGCAAATCTCAGTCTTGGCCCGATGTTCTTATTAGACAGCAAAGGCTTCTTCCAGGCGCATCTCCAATGTAGGACAAATTTGTGCAGTCTTTTTCTAATAGTAGATACAAACACTTTTACATTAACAGTTTCAAGAGCTACCTGCAGATCCTGAGATGAAATTTGTGAGTTCTTAGAGACTTTTTTAAAAGAATCTTACGGTCTGCTCTCTGGTTAAATTTGCTGGGACAGCTTGGCCTGGACAAGTTGGTGGTGGTTTTAAATCTTCTCCATTTGTATGATGATCTTCCAGACAGTGGAATGATTGACTTCCAATCATTTTTTGCATATCTTCTTTCCCTTCCCAGACTCTCAGGCATCTACAATTTTTATTCTGAAGGCCACAGAGAGCTCTTTTGATTTAGGCATGTTGATACCACACAGTCCAATAAAAAAGTAACAAAGAGCAAACCAGACCAGATATCTGAGCTTTCTCCAGACTTTCCTTCCATAGCAGAGTGATAATCATCAGCACCTGATCAGGATCACCTGATTTAACGCCTTTAAAGTAGTGATATATGTAAGGGTGTGCTTATTTTTTCCACACAAGGCAATTGCTATACTGTTTATTTCAATTATATATGGAGTGACAAAAATGTTAATTCTAAGTGCCACTTGTTAAATTCTATCACTTTTATCAACACTGTTTAAATGAAGACTTGAAATGTGTACCTTCAAATATATTGAAAAAGCCTAAACTTTCCATACTTCTTTACATGACTATAGGTCCATGAGGTGCTTTGCATCTAAAAGCAGGCTAACATACAGAACTCCCCATGTTCACCAGTGCACATACTGAAAGCATTTTCTCTCATTTGCTAATATTTATTTTCACCTTATATGTTCTTTTGGGCTCTTTTCCAGCACCTGTATAATTACATAAATACAATAGCTTGTTCTCCATCATCACTGACCCGAATGAAGTGTGGCAGTATACTAAAAGCCCTGATTAATCGCCGCTGTGAGTGAATGTATGCATTATACGAAGGTCCGTGCCACGAGGCCTGCACCGGTTTAGGGAACTCTGTGCATATTTCTGGCTCTTGCAGGAGAAAAATAAATGCATGTGTTTCAGCCCTGAGGAGAAGCGGAGGGATTGGAGCTGGGAGATTTTCCAGAACCCCTGCGATCCATTCAGCTCCATACGTCTTAGCTCTGTTGTAATCACCCTATCCCTCTCCCTTGCTCTCCTCCTCTCCTCCTGTCCCTCTGCGGTCTTATTGCAGCCCTTGTTTCTCGCTCTTTTTTTGCTCCTTCTCTCTTTTGTGGCAGTGGAACTCCCTTAGACACTGGAAACGAATACTTCTCCAGATGCTGTAACAGGGCTGGACTGAAACCCATTGTGTCTTCTCTGGACCACAGCTGCGATGTCAGCACCTCTGAGTATGTGTGTGTGTAGTTGCTGTTACGCTTAGGCCATGGTCGCCAAGAGTGGGAGAGAGTGGGAGGCAAGAGTTCACTAAAGCACATTCCTGCCATGTTAGGTATCTGTGCTCAGGGAGTATTAATGGGATGCTGTAAAAAGTCTGCTTTTACAGTCTCCAAAGCGCTGCTCTTCATAACAGCCCTTTCAATCACGACGGCGAACATGATGGCGTCAAACAGCATTTCGGCATTGCGGTTTTTTAATGCTTGTCTTAACAGCGTTTCTTTATTATTACTGATGTGTGAAACAACATTCGCTCAAACAATGCAAAGGCCTTATAGCCAAGTATGTGTTAATGGGGCTACCCTTAACACCCTGATCTGAGATCAGTTTTGATTGTTATGGTCGCGATTACAGTTTGGTTTAGAAGAGGCTGATCTTAAACAGTCAGACTGCTTCCTCATGTGTCCTCAATCCATAATAAATGTGTGAAATTCAAATCACTCGGAGCTGAACAACCATCTGCATCGTATCCTTGTTCTGTCACTCTTTATTAATGTAAGGTGAGGGTTATGTGGGCGGCCACAAGTTTGAGCAGATGTTCATCATGCTATTGGAGCTTGACTCTTGTTTCCTCCCAGTTGTGTCCAGATGGGTGTTGCGCTAAGCTGAGCCTGGCTCTGCAACTATCTTGCTATAATGGTCAAAGTTATAGCCAGGTTAAGAAGACTGTTTCTGGATCTCATTCCCCACCAACAAGCATACTGCTTGATTTATTTAGTTGTAAACTCTTAAAAAGAATGGTTCTTGGCTTAGTTGTAGGTTCTAGGGAAAACTTTATTTGTTGTAAAATGTTTACATCATGTGGACGTTCTTTAAACTTTCGCACTTGTACGCCTAATTTACAGAAAAACATCTACTGAAAGATTGTTTAGGAAACCAAAAGTGGTTCTCATATGGCATTGCTCCTAAGAACCCTGTTTGGCACCATAGCCCTAAGTTCTCATGTGCAGATTTCAGATGCGTATTAGCTGGTCTATGGGTCAGTCATCTCTATTACAACATCACACAATAATCCGTGACCATCTCAGCCTTGAATGACGTTCAGCTGTAAGCGTTTGACATCTGATGGGCATTTGTAAGTATTTGTGATTGATGTTCTGAGCATCTCTTCTACTACAAAA